TTAATACTTATGATCTCTTTTACATCATCTTAAGTTGTAAACATTTTAAAAATGTTACATTGTTTTAAGATGATCATCATAAGAATCTTGTGTGTTGAACATTAGTAGTCAAGAAACACAGAAGCAATTTTCCCTTATATCACAGATTTACATCCATTTATTATCATGGCCTTTTGTAACACACAAATTTAGTGGGTGAAAGCATTCTAAGTGCTGTTTGAAATAAGATAAGGCAAATTGTTTAGCAAGAACAGAAAATCCATGCTGGGAGATAGTGAGATCTATGGCAGCTCTGACATGTATAAAAAATAAGAAATGTTTGACTTACATATAAATCTCAAAGGTTGAGTCTGTTTCATACAACAGTATAGGGTGTTGTAATATGAAGGAAAGGAAGGAATTTAATAATATCCAAAATAAAAGATAGCCTATCTAATTGAAAAGATTTAATATATTGCTATGAATAATTGTAATAAGTTAAGAGCAAAAATCACCAGATAAACAAAGGATGCCACAGAGCAGGAATTAATCTATCGTGGCTTGATAATAGATAATGTTTCTCTTACACATCCCTGTGGGTTCTTGATTGAGACAATGCCCATAAGAGAGAATTGATTAACAGCAGAAAAACGAATTTAATTTCATGTTTTTTGGGAGCCATGAAGACATGTGACCCAAAGCAGGCAGCTTTTATACTTTCTTACTTTCTTCTTACTTTCTTTTTTTTTTTTTTTAACAAGGAAACAATGAATTGTTGGAAAATTGACAAGAACAAGAAATTTGATCTTGGGGTAGTAAATTAGTAAAGTAGCAGTGGTTCGTTCATACAGCCTTCTAGTCTCAAATTCTCTCTCTATGCTGATAAGATTGTCCCTATACCTCCTGGGGTAGAACGGTTAACTTTCCTGTGGGAGATTTATTCCCTGCTTTCAAGGGAGATAAAGAAAGGTTAAAGTGTATTTCTTACAGGAGCTTATTCTTAACTAACTTTTTAATTTAAAATAATCGGTATGCCAAAGTGGTATATTTGGAGGTAACCTGTCTTGAATTCCATAAATTTCTTTTTATCCAAATTTTCTACAAGGATTCTACATTAATTTTATTATTTTAAAATACAATTGGCATAAAAAAGAAATGCACGCATGGAAACTAGACAATTTGCTGTACTGAAAATATTGCTAAATTTTAAAACTATAGCAGATATGAATTTGAGATAAAGTTGAGAAGAATTTCTACTGTATTTGAGTATGAATCTGTCCTTATTTTATTACTTTATGGTTTTAAAAGTTTGTATAACTAGGATTAAAAGTGTAAGTTAGTGTGCTATCTATTTTTGATAACCTCCTCACCAGGAAGTTATAGTTTTAAGCCTGTCAGTTTGTTTATAGAAAGTATATGCTTTCAGAGTTGGATTTTAAGTTATGCTGTAGGTTTTCTTTGTCTTGTAATATTGACAGATACTCTCTAATTATATTAATAGAATTAAAAAATAATATCAATTTTTGTCTTTTTCACATATGAAATGTTTCTACTAAAATACTGAATCTCAATAATTTTGATTAACCTACACAATTTCAAGTAAAACATTACAACTTACTCTTACTGAATCAAGTAGCATCAGCTCCTGTGTTTTTTAAGTTTTACAGACATTTTTTTCTCTGCACTAAGATAAGTCAATTGCAGCATCTATTACAGTAATGATAAAATTAAAATGAGTTGTGTCTTAGTTCTTGACCTGCTTTCAAGTTTTGTCTGAATTTATTTGCTACATACTGATTCCATTTATTAAGGTCTGTTTGCCTGTGAATTTTTTGTAATATGTGGCATTTATTTGTATTGTTTCTCCAAAAATATCTTGACACAAGGTAATTTGGGTGGGTGGGTTGCTTTAATAGTTATTTAAATGATTATAAACCACGCATCCCAAAGCTTAATTTCTTCTACTGTTAATAAGTCCAATGCAAAGTTAATGCCAATATTTTAACTACATATAGGTTAATTTACTTGGGACAAATATACAAATATACCATTTTCTAAAGTCTCATTACTAACGCTTTTTTAATAGGGTTCTTTGTGATTTGAGTATAGTTTTCAAGAAATTTTCTTAATACCAATTAATTAATAGCCAATATATAAATCCCTATTTAAAATGCACCTATTTATTTTTTTCCATAAAATCCTTACTAAAATAATCCACAGATTTGAGAATAGTATCAAGAATTACACTTTTCTATTATTTATTTTTTTTGGGGGGGGGAAACAGATGTCCCCATAATGCTCATTTGTCTTCTTTTTGGAAACACTAGCTTTCTGAACATTAAGATATCCTCCCTGTTTTTCTGTTTGAGGCATCTGAGAAAGTGCCCTGTTTTGAAACATGTAAGATAACAGTGTTGTCTTCAGCATGTATTTCTATCATCACAGTTTCTAACACATATTCTCTGTAAAAGTTACTTTGATACTTTGTCTATAGCCAACTACAGTTGAGTGAGTTTCAAGGCAATCTCACCAGAATTAGGAAATGGAAAACACATATTTATAAAGTGATATTTAAGTCACATATAATGTGACCTTTGTGTTCTGTACTGACAATACAGCATTATTTCATTTTCTGTTATTTAATTTACTGAGAAATTTATCTCTTATTCACTTTAGAAGTGAGGTAAGTCATCATGACTTCACAGTGTCAAACTATTCATAATCACTGCCGTTTTTAAAATAAATTACAATTTTTAATAAAGTTTTAACTTGCATCACTCATCTCAAACATTTATAAATAAGTTAATTTATAAGTTAATTCATTTTATCAATTGAAATTTTCAGCCACATACACATCACACTCACAAAACTGTCTTACGAGGATCACTTCCTGTTAAGAACACCTACTTCTAACAACTGAGAAAGTTTCAAATTGTATTAATTCATTTGATACCTTTAAAAAAATATATTTTACTCATGTATATATATAAGAACAAGGGTGTAGGCCAGAGGTGCAGGAGCGAGCGAATTCACCAGAGAGAGTGGGAAGCAGGAAAGGTGGACTGAGATACATTGCTGAGGAGATCAGTGAGAGAGACAGGAGAGGTCTGCTGGGCCAGACCTAGGGGGTGGGGAGGGTGCTAAACAGGAGAAGAGATCGCATGTTGCAGTGGCTGGCTATTGCTTGAGAGCACTGAGACTTAACCCATTTGAGGTCAGGGAAGCCCGTTTGATGCCTTTGAGTTATAGCTTGACTACACTGTATGTATGGAATCAGTGTCTTGCCTCTTCACAATGTAAACTACATGAAGAATTTGGGTTTTGCTTGTTTAGCTATCACTGAGTTGTTCTCTGATGTTTTGTTTTTCCTGAAAATTCCATCTGAAATTCTTTATGTAGATTTTCTCAAAACACTTGTGATAGCAAAAGATATCTCATGTATTTCACAGTGCTCAAACCATTGACTATGTGGCCTTCATCCAACAACAGCAACAACAACAAAGTAAAAGATCAACCCTAGGATGAAAAAGTGGGGGAAAAGGGAAAACAGGGCTTGTTAATGACTAAGTATATTTTTCCTGTTTAAGATATTAATAGGGATGGCTGAATATACTGAGTTTTTAAAACAAATAAGTACCCTTTTGATTTTTTCATATTCAATTGTCTACATGTATTGGATCATCCTTGAAAACTTCATAAATTATTTTTGAAAATTTTCAGGAAACAGGAAAGACTCATAAAATTTAAGGCAAGTGTTGAAATACAGCAACAAATACAGAAACAGGAAAGACTCATAAAATATAAGGCAAGTGTTGAAATACAGCAACAAACATAATCTCCCCCTTTTATTTAAATCACACTGTATATATTTCCCTAAACAAAAGACAATAACAAAACAAAAATAAAAAGAATTTGCCAACTTAATTCTATTTTTAACTGGACAGCTTTGAAAGTAAGAGAAAATCTACACCCTTCCTCTTTTAGCTGTTTCCAAGCAAGATAAGGAATAGGCTAAGACGCCCTGGAAACTCCCTGCCCCTCCAGAGGGGTGATGGACTTGTGAATCAGCTGGCTGCTCTGGTAAACATATTGGGCAACAATGGTTTTAGAGTATACTATAAAATAGTGGTTGGTAATGAAATGAATGTTACCTATTTAACATTTTAAATTATATAAGTGGTAAATAATTACATGTTAATTGTTTTGCCATTCATTGAGCTAATGTTTTAAATTAGCTTCACAAAACTGTGACTCAGATGGTTGAAGTTAAAAAAGTCATTGTAAGCATTCGTTTGCTTGTATTTTTAATTGAAAAAATTTTTGAAAACCCAGTGTAAAAGTTTCCAATATTTTTAGAGAATTAATTTTTGACTGATTACTGTGTCTGTTGCTGTCATATTTAACTTCTTCTGAGAAGAATCTACTGTGTATATTACATAAACAGTTACTGTGAATTTGTTTTGACTATAATATCCCACAGTAATGTTGACCTGATCTCTAGGTAAAAATAAATAAGAAGGGCCTCCTCAGTGGCACATGGGTTAAAGTCTTAGTTCTATCACATTATTGCCAGCCAATTAGTTCTATCACATTATTGCCAGCCACTGTGTCATGCATTAAATCCCTGGTCAGGGAGGTGACCCACATGGCACAGCAGATTTCTCCTGTCTCACCTGCTGCTCCCCTCAGCAATGTGTTCTCAGTGGTTCTACTTCTGCTCCCTACTTTGTCTCTGGAGAATCCTCTCACATATCCCTTGCACCTCTGGCCTACATCCCAGTTCAAATGAAATAAAACTAAAAATATAAGCAAGGAAATGAAGACTAGGACAAAAAGAATACATCAATTTTTCTAAATGCTTAAGAAATATATTATTTCTCCAGCAGTCTTATGTATATTACTTATTAAGACACAATGCATATTCATTTTCCTTTAAGTCTACATAATTTACTTGCTACAGTATGTTGTGTATTTTGCTAAATTTCTAAATTCTTCTTTTTTTTTTTTTTTTTCCCCTACAGGTACTGGCTGACAAACAAAGTTCCCATCAAAAGACCAAGCACAGGTCTCCTCATGTATACACTTGCTACAAGATTCTGTGATGAAATTCACCTGTATGGATTCTGGCCCTTCCCTAAGGATCTGAGTGGAAAAGCTGTCAAATATCATTATTATGATGACTTAAAATATAGGTACTTTTCCAATGCAAGTCCTCACAGAATGCCATTAGAATTTAAAACATTAAATGTGCTACATAATAGAGGAGCTCTAAAATTGACAACAGGAAAGTGTGTAAAGCAATAATGCACATTTGAAGACTTACAAACAAACTGAATATGCACTTCTTTTCTGAAGATGCTTCCTAAGAGTTGAAAATAGGATCCAAAACAAGACTGGGTTTCAGCATCCACCAAGGACCCGGAAGGTGATTAAGGACGTTCATGAGAAATTCACTACCAGCTGATGAAATGCCTGCAAAGTGCTCTAAAAATTAAATATTTTGATTTCAAGGGTCCTAGTAAGTGCCACTTCCACTAAGAACACAGTTTGAATGTATAATCAGTAGTGTTTACAAGATCCAACAATGCACTTGTCATTAGTTAATGAAGCAAATATGTTCATCACTATTGGACTGCCACTGCAATGCCAAGCACATCGGAAGAGGAACCCAGAAACACAACTCAGCCAGTGGGGAAAGCAAACCACCATTGTGAGAAGAAAGGAAAATGGAAACAATTTGAGTAGTGAAATCTGCAAGATTAAGTAATTCAAGCAAATGCCTTCAGTCAGGATCATGAATTTTATGTTTTGTTTCTGTTTTTGCTTTGTCTTCTGGAATCTCTTTTGGCATAGATATTGGGGTGCTTAGAAATAATTTCTGAGATAAAGATGAATGCGATAAATAATCTTCGAGTATCATTTTTAAAGTTCTAGTATTTTTAAAAAGCAGTCACACAATGACTTTGTAAAGAAGTTTTATTTTGCACAACTCTAGACCTCCAGATTTTTTTCCCAGTGGTGTAGAGGGTACCAGCTAAACTGTACCACTTAGTAACATTGAGCCATTCTGATGGAATGATGGTCTGTCATTTGAGATGGTAAAATTAGCAGAAAAATGTACTTTTGGTACCAAAGATTATATTGGTGTTTCTACCCAACCACTCTTCTTTTGTGAATATATCAACATATTATTATACTAGCAGTGTGAAAATTGTCTCTAGGTATTAAATTTTTTCAAGGTCAAACTTTATTTTTGTTCGAAAGAAGGCTTCCACAACTTTTACATTTCATAATTGTTTTATGGAAGCATTTTATCCTTTCTAATACGTGTTTGATTAATAGAGCTGAAAGGTGACTTCCAGGTCTTTGACAGTCCTCTCATTATTCAAATGGAAAGACTGACATGCTCTTTAAAAATCTTTGTTAAATTTTTAGTGCAAAAGTAGGATAATTAATAAAGTGTTGTTTCCATGAAGAGAGGATTCATCTTAAGAGATCTGACTATAAAACTCTGTTTCTGTAATTTCACTTCAAATGAATTAAGTTGACTACTTTTTTTTCTGTGGTTAAATGTTTTGCTTTATCATGTTAATGTGTTTACAAACAAACACATGGCATGATTAATGAAGCTATTTAAAATTTTTGACATTTAACTGAATTGACCCATAGGTCAGTTTCCTGCAAACTTGTGCTATGCTGGTAGGTCGTTCTAATTGGTGTATTGTTTCTTGAGAAAGCAGAAGCACTGTGTTTCCACTTCTACTTTTGGCCTGAAATAACTTGGATAACTTCTTGTTTCTTAGAGAAGGCGGTCTGAAAAAAGAAGAAATAGCATGGGGGATATGTGTTTTGTTTCTTAGGGAGGACAGCCTGAAAAATAAATAAATAGATAAAAAGCATGGAGAATATAATATATATGTATAAACATATATATATATATATATATATATATACATATACACACACAAACTATCAGAAAAGGATACTACAGTATTGTTCTCAAAAATATGCAGTATTATTCTTGCTCAAAAATATGCAGTATTATTCTTTAAAATTGATAGACCCTTGAGATATAGGAAGCTATGTTTTCTGAGAATGTATGTGTCTCTAAGAAAACACATGGACTACATAAAGGAGGTGCATAGCTCAAAACGGATAGAACTTGATACACGTTTATCATGAAATCTCTGAGCTGGAGAAATGCAAAAAAACAAAGTGGGTACATGTATCAAAAGCAAAGAAAAGTCTGATTTCTGCAGAACAAAAATAAGTGATTTAAAATCCTTAATCTGGACTGAGTAAGTTGTTTGAGCAACTTTTAACTTGAAGTCAAAGATACCTTGAAGTGACAAGTACATTCTTAGGTAAAATCCATCGTAAAACTCATTCAAAATATGTCTTAAAAAGCAGCCACCAGGTACCTTGCCAGTTTACTGCATTTTCAGCAAATGTATTTAAACAATCATAAGGCCACAACAAAAATATCCCGGTCATTCACTTTTCGTGCATTGGTGCCCCCCATGATGCATTGAGTAGTGCCTTTGTAGCTTCTCACTGCTTTGTTACCCTGTGCTTTGTGTTCTCTAAGTTGCCCAGTTCTGAAAATGTTCAGCTTATAAAAGGGCTTCAGTATTGACTGAGACTACTTTTGTTCATCTCAGGGAACCTTCAATACTCAAGAATGAATTCAGTTGCAGGCATTTAGTGTTCAAAGAAGACAAGCTGTACAAGACCATTTCATTCCCTACTGTGTATCTTTCCATCCCCTCTGCCTTTCTAGCTACTGTGGCCTTCCTAAAGGGTGAGGGCAAGGAGATCGTGGAGGGCTAACAGCAAGAAGAAAATGCTGAGATCTGACTGACTAGGGAGCATGACAAAATCAAATTACAATACACATACTTGAACTATCTGGGTTTTATGCTTTTGAAATTATCAAATGTTCAGTTTTGTTTTTTATTTCTTTTTATGAGTTAACCCCATACCTGGCAATGCTCAGGCAGCTGATTGTGAAATATTCCTGTCCTTTTGGGAACATGGTTGTTACTGTGCTGTTGACATGAATAGGCCATGGAGACATTTCATCTATATTACCCAGCCTGTTCTATACTTAGAATTAATTTGTTGAAAAAAAAAATCAGTAATAGATTTTTATGGGCAAATCTAATGATTCAGCCTATGGATGGTTGATTCAATTATTGTGGAAGTTTTTCTATCTGAAAGAAGGCCTGGGCATTCAAATGTCTTTAAGTATTGTATATCATATGAAATGTATAGCAATTGCTAATGGGAATTTCTATGCTTAGAGAAGCAATTTATTTAAATAATGCTATGAGTAGTGTACATACCAACTAGTTATTAAGCTACTACACAGGAAAAGGGTGAACAAAGTAATTTATTCCTTCTTGAGCCAGTTAGTCATAATGCACAAGATGTGTTATTTGGTTCATAAAAGAGTTGTTTTTATGTGGTTATTGTAGGGAGTATTTATACTTGTGAAAGGGTGTAGGAAGAGTTATGTATAGTTAGTTGTTACCTCTACAAGTCGGAAAGTTTTTCCATCAGATATTATCAATATAGTAATGTTTTAAAAATTGAGAGAGGGATATTGTTTGTATTTGATAAAAGAAAATCCAAATAAAGTCCTTCTAGAAATAGATATTTTATTATATATGTGCTATTGATATATCTATATAGTACAAAGGACATGTGTGTTGCATATATACAACATTATATATGTTTGTGTGCACACACATGGAGCCTGCAATGTGCACACACTGGATTTGTGTTATGTTAGCTGCTTCTGAGTGCACAGTGAAGCACTCTGGAGATAAGACTACTTTAGAGTAAGAAGTTCTTTTGAGACTTCAGTTACTAACATGCTTTAAGAGAGGTCGTCTTAATAATGGATTCATGTTATTCATATCTAGAGTTACGATAAGGGTCTAGTCTGTCTAAATCTTTAAAAAAAAAAAGTCTTTAAATCTCATGATGTATTTAAATTGCAGTTTTCAGATTGTGGATCCAGGCCCTGTGTTTCCTATTTAACTAGAACCTTTAAATAAATACTGTTTCTTTGTGTAGGCTAAAGCACAAGTGTTTCAAATGTATATAGCAGGAAAAAGAGTTTACAGAGATAGCATTGCTGCACAGGATAATTGCTACTGAGTAATTGTTATTTCATTGTGGCACTGAAAGACGAAGTTTATTCTGTCGAGTTCATTCTGTTTAACAACGTTTCCCTATTGTTTATGTATAGCAACTGGTGTTATTATTACATCATTTGTAAAATTGTAAAATAAATTAAATATTGTTTTTTTTTCCATTTTTCTCCTATCTCATATATCAAAACACTTGGTTTTACTTACTTGATAAGTCAATATAATGTGATAACTTTTAATAAACTTTAGCTAGTGTTTTCTTCTTCTTCTTTCCTTCCTCACTTACCCCCAACTATTGGGAATTTTGTAAGTCATTTATATATTTTTTTAAAGATTTATTTATTCATACAGAACTGGGGTACAGGCCAGAGATGTGGAGGGTGATAGGATTCACTAGCGACAGAGCAGGGAGCAGAACAGGCAGGTGGCGAGGTACACTGCCAAGGGGAGTAGCGGGCGGGTCAGGAGAGTTCTGCCAAGCCATGTGGTCACCTCCAGGGCAGGCGGGAATCGAACTCATGCGGAAATGGCTTTAGCTTCTTAATGCAGTGCTTTAACCCCCTGCGCCACCAGGGAGGGCCCGTAAGTCATTTGTATTTAAGTGTGGGAATAGAAATGATATCAAACACCCCATGAACATTAGGAAAACTGACAACGTTTGTGTGGTGCATTTTGTTTGTTGTGGTGCATAGAGTGTTAACATAAGTTACAATCATTTCTATCCAATATACAGTTCCAATTTATGTTTCAATAATGTATATTAATCCAATTTATTTTTATAGATAATTGAGTCTCTTAGGCTTCAAGTCTTTTATGAAGCCTTATACATTACACATTCATATGGCTGCCTTTTGACTTGTGATTTCAACTGATTTTAAATTCACTTGTTACTCTTTGCAGTTCACTATCTAGGAGATGATTCTGTAAAACTGCATGTTCAAACTTCTTCATTGCTTTCTGTAACTGGCTAACTTAAATTTCTGATTCTACACTATTTTCTCTGGAAATTATGAGGTCAGTTTTAGTACTCTGTAATTTTGAAATTTGTGCTAGAAACCAACAATGTGCCATTGGTAATGGTTAATGAATTAGATATTACTAGTATCTGCACACATAAGGTAATTTGTAAATTACCTTTTCCTTTCAAATTTCTATAGACATTGAGTCAATTCACATTTATTAGAATACAGTCGTACCTTATCATTGACCTATGAGAGACACTGCACACCGTCATTTACAAATGATATTGAGAGATCGATGTGACTTGCTAAAAGTCACTCAGTTCAGAAACAAGAGAGACATGATTTGAATTCAAGGGATCTGACTTCATTGTCTACCCTCTTAACAAACTCATTTTAATGTTATCTCTTTCTAACTGACAAGAAACTTCCCAGGAAGCTATGTTGCTAAACAAATATTATTTATTGATCACTGATCAAAAGCGTAGGCTAGTATACAGTAGAGAAATGTAATTTAGGCTTTGGGACAGTCTAGTAAAATAATCATTATTCCAAAGTAGAACAATAATCGCTAATGATCAGAGGATCTATACATTCTAGATCAAGACACTTTTGGATAGCACAGGACAAACATTGCAAATTTTGGCCCCAAACTCTATATAAGCTTTTTTTTTTTCACATAGGCTAGATGACTCATTTGTTAAAACCTAACTTTGGACTTATGTTTATTTAGTTTTCTTTCACCAAAATATTTTCTTTATATTTTCAAACTTAACATTTCAACTGATATATTTGTCCTCTAGATATTGTATTAGCAATAACTTTTATTTCTAAAATATCATTCCATGGTTGTAGTCTGAAGAACAATGCATACCTGAACTTAATTACACACACATTAGTTAGCTTTAAGCACTAAGCATAAAAAGAAATGCAATGAGGTGTTAATTTGCATTTTGCAGAGCAACTCAGTATGTTATAATGTGTTCTGTCTCTGCTGTCTGTCCAGTCGTGCTTCCTTAACTCCGGCCTCCTAACACTGTGCAGATGGGCTGTCCAGGGCACAGCTGCCAGCGCTGCCAAAGAGTAAACACTCTCAGCTGGCAGCAGATGTTTTCCAGGGAAGATCACTGCCACTGGAGCTATTCTGGTTTGGATTGTGTTAGTGGCTCTCCATGAATAGACAGAAGGTCATTGTGTTCAAATGCATCATTTGTCTCTCAGGTATAGTTAATAACTGAGAGGGCTCACCTGCCCCCCGCTATGCATATTTACCTGGAGAAGTGTTTTGGAGAGCTCTCCTAATAAACCAAGATTTTTCTTTTTTTAAAATAGGAATTTTTTAGTTTACATTAAGATTATTTCCTGAACTCTTCAAAGATAAAACAGTATTTTAGTACAAGAAAAGCAAACTACATTCACTGTTGCTTTGTAAATCAATGTTGAAATTGCTGGAGTTCTAATGATGACAATAATTATCTGTACTCAGAGTTCTTAGTCCTACTTTTATCAATATACTAGGCATTAATTTATGGAGTGACTAACTCCACAGATCTGGTGTTTTATAATATGAATGAATAAACTCATGTATGAATTTGCATATCTTGATGGAATATAAAATTTAAATACTTGTCATTTTATAAAATGGTAACATTTGCCCACAATTTAAAAAATAACATTAGCTACGAGGCATAATATTTTATCAAAGGAATATATACCTCATGGTTATCAACACTCAGATGTAAGAGACACATAAGGAAGTAAATA